GAAATCTTCCTCCATTAAGAACTTCTTTCAATTCAAATATGTTTTGAACATACCGAATAGCCGTGACTCTGAATAACTTTATTTTTTGTAAAATATAAGAATAAATCTAAAATTTATTCACATTTATTATCATAATTAATCATTTATTTAGAAACACTTGTTACACATTTATGTATAGGGCAGGCTGTCCATGGGAAGAAGGACTGCTTCGTTTACTTGCTCTGCAGATTGTCTCCGGTTCTGTGCAGTTTTTCGGCTGTGTAGCCTCTTGCTTCATGGGCCTAAAAAGGCTTACGTTTAGCTCAGAATCAAAAGCCTTTCTAGGCGATCTGGCATGATCGCATGCTAAAACAAACCTTATGGGCAGCATCATCCTTACATTCTCCACACTTTGCATAAGTCTTGTCCGAAGCGTCCTTGCCCATATTACGAGCCTATAATAAGAAAAATTAGCAAGAATCAGTTGAAAATTGCAGTAAATTCCAGCGTACCTTGTCGTAGGTGGATTTCGCAGTTTCCTTAACACTCTCCGCAGCGTTGGACATCTTGTCCTTAGCAGCGTCGGCCATTTCTTGGGCCGTGGCGCCAGCAGAGTGCAGCATACCTTCGTTGTGGCTCATTTTTAGATTGGGAGGTAGTTTTCGATAGTCTGCAAGGAGGTAGTATGCGTACAAAGTAAATAAAATTTAAAACGGAGAAATTGAAAATACGTCCTAAAAAATTCTAGTCATAGCCATGGCAGAATCTGATGTGTAAATGACAAACAGTCAATAGTTTGCCTTAAATTGATGAAACTCGAAAAAGGAGGGAGGAGGGGATTTAGCAATCCATAAAATTCGTTAGTCCCAAGATCATACTGGCGGGCAGCGCCGTAGAATTTGGACTTCTGAAATCTCAGCGCATGGTGTGACAGAAATGGTTAAGAGGGTTTTCTCTATCATATTGCTTAAGGAAATGTTTATAAACAGAGAGGCTACGCATATTGGACCTGCAAACGCTTGCAGGAGGACGAAAACATGTGGTTGTGTAGGCGTGTATAGCGCTTATATAGCAGTGGAAGAGTAAAAGCGCGGGACATGTTGATTGTTTTGGCATGCAAGACACACTCCTCGCTCGTTCTGTTGTTGCCATCGGGTTTTTCGCTACGCATATGGTAAACAACGAAGGCACAGCGCCAACTAGGGTTATTTGTAAAACAGCGATATTGTTGTGA